ATCGCTATAATACTCAAGAGATTACAACGTAATCCTCAAATGACATAAGTACAGATATATATTTGCGCCGATATCGTTTTAAGACCGATGATGTGATACGGCTGAATGAGTTAAATCATTAAATACCGTTTTATCACGATGTAGATCGATGAAGACGGTGGGTATTCTACTTGGCTTTGGCGGAGGCGTTCTCTTCAGCACGACGTTCCTTCATTTGATACCAGAAGTCGCGGAAGGCGTACAGAATCTTATTGAGTCTGACAAAATACCGCAGCTCAGCTTCTCACTGGCAGACATGCTTGCATGCACCGGGTGAGTCAATCCTTTGACGTCATTACGTGCAGATGCAAAATAAAAATCATCATCTTCTCAGAAATAGAATATCTCTTCATGAACGAGTGAGATACCTTGGATCAATAAGAGATTAAGAATCATTCGTTACTCATTTAAAATTGTTAATCTGATCACAAGTTTATAAAAATAACTATTTGATTTTATAAAGATAAACTTTTTTCTATTTAACTCTTTTTTAATTCAACGCAGTCATAATAACATATATTAATTTTATTATATTCTTTGATGATATCGAATTGAAAGTATCGCGAACTGAAATGGCGCGCTTCGGAATAAAGGAATTAATGACCGCGGATTTCTTCCGTAGCTTCTTCATCATGTACTTGGTGGAAGAGTCTGTGCATACGTATCTCAGGAAGCGACAAATGACGAGGCGGGATTCCAACAAGAAGGACATAAATCTTAGCACGAACGAATTGGTGGAAAACGGTCAAATACAATCGTACGCTAGTAACGGTCACGCACACACGTAAGCCTGTTTACACTCGACTTTATCAATCTTTTTATAGTCGAAGTATCATGCCGATGATACTTCGACGGCACAAAGAAGTCACAATAAAACTTAATCTTTTCTTAATTTATAGGGGCCACAGCCATTTACCGGCGATAATGACTTCGGATGATGACTTCGTGATAACTTCGCTAAGAGGATTATTAATAGTACTCGGCTTATCCGTGCACGAGTTATTCGAGGGATTGGCAATTGGTTTAGAAAGCTCCGCCAATCATGTCTGGTAATTACATCGCGAATACGTCTTAATTCAAACCCTAATTCGAACCGCGCTCGTCTACGCTCGTAAATTAAAAAAGCCGTTATAACGGCGAATTGTCAAACCTCACTTAACTATAAATGAATAGAATAGAATTTATTACACTTCAGCATATTTACAGCCAGGAAGGGGACTAGTTTACATAAATTCTTAACTCATTCATACATCCATAACTCGTCCACAAGCTATCGCACATATATTATTATACATTTTTGCTTATCCCTTTACTTTCCTACTTTTCTGGTTAAAAGACTGTGACTTCGCTTCTTTACATCCTACATTATTTCATTTTATTTCTTTTCGCTTTATCCACTTTTTTCGTTACTCTCGTTCAATACGTACGTTATCTCTATATCACAGTCTTATCACCGTCACTTACTATAAATGTAGTACTATTATCACAACGGCTCCATATCTGAGATTGTAATGAAAGAAAATTTCAATATAATTTTAAATTAATCTCAAGAACACAAGTCATAATGATGCACTCAAAAAATTGATCTTACAGTTTTATAACGAAAATGATCTAAGTACGAAAAATTAGCTAAAATAGATAAATTTCTAGCAAGTATTGCGATATTGGATATATATTGCATCTAATAATGCAGAGATAGAATTTAGATTTGTGCTATAAATTCTATGCGTATGATATATAATTTTTTATCAAATACGAAACATAGCAATAATTCTAGCTGGATCAGCAAAATATATTTTCGCATATATCATATAACATCATCATCATGTTATTTGATACTTAAAAACAAACTTATAAATGACAAATAAGATCATGTTGATGTCCTTATAATATTATTACGACTTCTATGTGTTTGTCTTGAGATTTTATTAGCGTAATTTAGATTCAAGAATCAAATTTAATTAAATTTCCTAAAAATATCATTAAGCTTAGATTAATAACTTTAACATTGTAGATTAGTCGATGATTAATAAATATCTCACATCTTAGTAAAATCGCGCTATATATTTAACACCGCCAGGTTAAACCGCTCTCGCAAAACGAAGGACAGTGGTATGACAAACGATACGATTCATCCATAGGTATATGTTCCTCGCGGTGGCGTCCCATAAATTCGTCATTGCTTTCTGCATCGGAGTAGAACTGATCGCGTCCAGAACCAGGCCGTACCTGTCCGTGATTTACACATGTACATTCGCCGTGGTGTCACCGCTGGGAATTGGCATTGGGATGGCTCTCGTCGGCGGCGGAAGTGCGGCCGCAAGTGGACCAATGGCAGTGATACTGCAGGCAAGTTTCTCCATTTCTTTTAGGGGAGATACCGGTTTGATGAAATAAAAAATTTCAATGAGATAATCGATGACGGTAATACGTGTCGGCGTGTCGAAGAAGCTCCTCGTATTCAAAGAATCGGGATTCCGCGTAAATCTGTGAACTGGTCGAGCAACAAACACGCGGTATGTAAGGAGAAAAAAAATACTCTTATCGCTTTTTTTTTTCTTTATCTCAGGGATTAGCATCGGGTACTCTGCTGTTCGTGGTGTTTTTCGAGATCTTGCAAGAACATCGCACCGGACTCAGACAATACTTCTCGATTCTCTTCGGTTTCCTCGTGATGTTCTGCTTGCAGATGTTGAGTAAGTACGAACGATTTTATTTTGTGCTAACGCACAACGATGTTTTTGTATCTCTTGTTGATAGCAAGCACATAGGAATTAGAGTATTTAGCGCTATAAATAAACATCCGATTTCTACGCTCTATTAAACCGCGTTCTTCGTATCTAATAAATGTAAGAACTGGGAATTTTAATGGATAAGAATATTGTGTCGATGAGTCTCTTATTTATCGACTTATTTATATTGCTAACTAAAAGTGCACAATATTTCTTCAAACGTATCAACATTTGGAAAAATCGAAGGACAGCAATAAACAGAATGATAGATGCTTTCCATTTTTTTTTTAATACAAGTGTCGACAAGTGTCATTCTATCTTTATTACTTATTAAATATATTACTTATTAAATGTAAAGAACAATAGAACAATGCTCGTATCACTAATTGGAAAGCACTCATTATTGAATGAGAATAGTTTACAAAAATAATACATGATAAAGCACAATTTAATGGTTTATCATGTATTATTTTTCTAAACTATTCTCATTCAATATCATTCTGTTTATCATATATTGTGCTTCAATTTTTCTAAGTAGTTGATAAGTTTGAAGAAAGATTAGTTTCGTAATTAACAATCAGTTTAGTTTTCAAATCCCTAGTTGAAATAATTTTCAATAAATGCGAATATTTCTTTATTAATATAAATATAATATCTTCTCTTTTCTTCAAACCGAATTTAGATAAACCTTAAAAATTAAAAAATACGCTTTAATTAGATAAAAACACGTACATCTAAACAATAAAGGAAACGAAGAAATATTCTGTGAATAAAAATTTAAAATACACCGAAATGAAAAAAATACTTCAAGCATATATCCGAGGTCGAAGATTATCGACACAGCTGACACTTATCGATTCTTAGTGAGTAATTATTGTCATTGATCAATAGCCAACTTATCACAATATATAAATATGTGTGTACAGTTTGCAGTTTTAAAAGGGAGAACTTTTGTTAAAACTAATATTCGAAATGACGTGCACTGTAAATTGTGCAAACTGTACACACAAGAGATAGCAGAATGGGATATGGAGGGAGAAAGAGAATGTGGCACAAAATGTAAAGGACATCCTGCCTGATGATTCACGCGGCACTATTCCCGTAACGTTTGATTTTGTTTGTTTGTGAAAATTTTTTCACACTGTTTGACGATAACCAGAAAAATAATACACGACAGTTATTAGACACGAAAAAGGTTCCCGTTTGCAACGTTTACTTATTTATGAGTCATACAAATTATTTCTTTGCTTACGTGTTATTCTTCATATACCGTTAAATCTGTAGTGTCAAATTCTATTTAATGTAAGTCGCCACTGCTTCTACTCAATTATGTCGTTATTTTATACTAAAACAATCATTATATTTGACATTATACAGTGTCAATTTGACACTATACTGGGTGGTTTTTTATCCAGAGACTGTAAAATACCTGGAAAAATAAATATATACGAAAAAAATGTTCTAAATAAACCTCAATATTTTTGAGGGAGCAATTCTATTCCGCAAAAGTTAGCCACTTCCCGCCCCCTCCCTCCAAAATATTGAGGGTTCATTTGGAACATTTTTTCGTACAACGCTTATTTTTCCAGATATTTTGTAGTCTCTGGTTAAAAAACTCACCCAATATAGTGTCAAATTTAATTACCGTTTAATCTAAAATAATTTATTTATAGTAGGAGCAGTGGCGACTCACATTGGGTTAAATTTGACATTGTAGATTTAACAGTATATGACTTACAACTCAATGATCATGAAAAATCTAAACTATGCATAAGAAAGTAAACGGCGCGATTATAAATTGCGACATTTTGTTTTTGCGACATTTTATCAATATAAGTAACGATGAAGGATGTTGCCATCTTTATCGTTGATCTCGGTTTTATTACATTAGACGAAATATTTTACGGCTGCTTGAACTTCGTGATTTCGACGACGTTCAATGAAGCGTCCAACACGGTGGTGTTATCCTTTCGCTTTTCACGCGAAAGGGTGAAAGTATCATAGCGCCAGTAAATAATCACGGAGGCGTGATCGTCTCGATGGTCCACATCGTTAAATTCAAAGCTTTGAAAGTGACGAGTACTTTTACATTTTCTCATCCATATCACAATGCTATAGAAAAAAAAATTTCTCTCGGTTAAAAGAAATTATTAGTTTCTATAAAATTGTATCTCAAATCCTCTCTGTGAGAAATCTAGAAGGTTGACTTTTTAAAGATCTTCTCTTTCCTCCATTCCGTTATTTAATCTTCTCGTTATACCGGTACTACTCAAGGACAGATTCATTTATTTGCGGTCTAATTCACGAATTAGATGTGAATGTTATTTATGGCACTGTGGGCGCGAACGTGGAATAGCCTGTATCTGCACGCGTGCCTCTGCACGTCGCCAACGAACTTCTCTCATTCACGCGTGTACACGCGCCCACGCACGAACGCGTCTACCGCCCACGAAGACGACGGGAAAATATATTGTACGTTGCTCTTCGTCGGAGCACAACATAACTACAACGATGTAACAATTGTTGAGCGCGCCCAACAATTACGCTGTAAAGACAAAGTGGGAATTCAGCATCTTTTATCTTTTCTCCCTTCCCTTTTTTTATCTCCTTTGCTTTTCTCTTTTTTCGCTTAAATCCTTCCTTTCCTAATTTTTTTCTCCACTTTTACCTTCTCTCCTGACCTTCTTTTCCTTTTTTTTTTTCATTTTTTTCTTCCTCTTCGTTTATACTTCCGTTGGTGTGCGTTTCCATTCTCTTTTTCCCCCATTGACCTCGCGTGCATTTCGATGAGAAGAAAGAGAGCAACTCCAACGGGACCGTCGGTCTTTACGCCATTGAATGAGAGACGATCAGTCGTGGTGCAGGTGCCAGAAAGAGTACGCACATTAGCGAATGATCGTTGGACAAGGACGAGCGTAGCGGTCGCGGGAGTGGGCAGGAAACGGTTCGGTTCGGACTATGTAAGACGACGAGGCGGCGGCCGAGGGGTCCGATCGAGTCGAGTTTCCATCGAGACCGGAGTAGTGTCCGATCGGCCGTCGCGGCGCGTGGAGCTTTACGCCGTTTGTAATTCGTTTGTGTCGTTCAAAATCGTAGGATACGACTGATCAGCGGAGAACCCGATCAGGTTCAGTCCGAAGTCTTGCTCCGGGTAGATCACCGCGAACGTCTCGATTATCCACGCGAGAGAGTCTTCATGAATTGGAGAACGGGACATCCTCGATAAAAAGTGCAGGATTGAGATGAATCCCATCGCCGACAGGAACACGCGAGAAGTAGTGAAGTGGTGACGACGTAAATTCTACCGCGACGTCGGTGTCTTGCGCGGATTTCACTCCCGATATTTTGTTCGCGTGTGCTTGACGTGACCGTTTCGGTGATCGATCTTACTGGCGTAAAATCTTCTCGAGAAGGAAGAAGAGAAAAAATAAAGATCGAAGCTCCTTTCCTCGTCATATTGTTATCGGTATTAATTTAACGACATACGAAATGGAGGACACGACGTCCGGACAAGATCCGTCCAATATCCTTCTGATATCAAAGATCGGCGCGATGGTCGGTCTTGGCTTTGGTTCCCTCGCATTGGGAACGCTGCCATTGATGGTGGGACGTTACAGAGCCAAGAAACAACTTCAGAAACGTCAGCAGGCGATGTCTTCCAATTCTAGCACTTCCACGTCCACTTCAACATCCGACGCTTCCTCGCCGCACGTTGATTCGGCCTCCGCGGCGAATAAGCAAGTACGTCCGAGAAACGATCAGAAATCCTAGTCACTGATACCTGGTCCACTCGCAGCATCTCCGGAAAGCTCGTCTTTGTGCCAGTTACAATCGAATCGACTCGCTGCAGATGTTACGAGGTCACATTCGGGAAAAAATAATAAATATAATCAAGGATATCCAGTAGAATATTCTTGATACCGGTGAATATCCTTGGATCTATTAATTCTACTTGCGTTGTGTATAGATTGTTTTTTAATTCAGCGATTTTTAATTCCCGAATATCGATTATGTTCCATTTTATCTTCGTTAAGTGTATGGCTTATTCTGATTTCAAATACTGTATAATGTGTTATTGTACGAGTAATCTTAAATATATCTAAAATGGCACAAAGTCGAGACAAATAATATTTGATTATGTTAGAAATAGGGAAGTCGTATTTGCAAAAAATATTTAATAATAGTTGATTTAACTCATTTAATGATAGTCGATCGATCAATATTAATTGTAATCCGGAGTAGCTGCTCTTAGGATGCTCGGTATTTTACAATCAGCATTTATAGACTCTCTGGACTATTTGGAATCAATTTGGAATTAATCTTGATTCTTTTAGCTGCAAACGCCGTATATATGCATTTGCTTATAACAGTAATAAGTAAATTTTAAATAAACCATTACAACTTCTTATGAACATCACTTATTTTATATTACATAAAAAGTTGATTCCAAAATAATCAAAGAGTTCATAGAAATTAATAATCCGAGCATCCTACTTAATGCGAATATAAATTCTAAAACGGATTCCAAAGCACCGCGGCATCGTCTTCAGGGTCTCTTGACGTCACTCTTGCTCTGCTTCGGCGGTGGCGTGCTCCTGTTCACGACGTTCATACATCTGGCACCGGAAGTTCGCGCTAGCGTAGAGACACATCAGTCGAATAAACAACTGCCCGATTTGGGTTCCCTCGGTCTGGCTGAGCTGCTTTTCTGCGGTGGTTTCTTCCTCGTTTATTTGGTCGAGGAAGCTGTGCATGCCGCCCTTACTGGCAAACCCGAGTCTTCGGAAGCATTACTTTACCGAACAGTGTCGGTGCGCAGATGCAACAACAATCAGACAGGTCCATCAAGTTCGTCGGTGATGTCGAATGGCTCGATCACCACCGTGTCCACGACGACCAAGTCCACCGCGTGGAAAGACACCAATGATGCCGAGGACAGTAAAGATCCGGCAAACCGGCTGAAACTCCAGCTCAATGATTCTCGCGATCAAGCAGGCAAGGACGACAAAGTGTTGCCGCCTATATTCGTCCTGCCTGTCGCGTTATCGAACGAAGAACATAAGGTTGTTCGGAGACATTCTGATCTAGAATTAGCAATTCCGGAACTAAACTACTCGATCAATCATCATCATTCCCATGACCATCATCATCAGCATGGTACGATGCAAAACACCTCAATACAAGGACTACTGACTGTGCTCGCGTTATCCTTTCACGCGATATTCGAAGGTTTAGCGGTGGGTCTGGAACCATCTATTAGTTCGGTCGCATATCTGGCAGCTGCTATCGCGACCCACAAACTGGTGATTGCCTTCTGCGTCGGAATGGAGCTCTACGTGGCTGGCGCGTCGACCAAGACCACCCTTGGCTATCTGTTAATCTTTGCCATGGTTACGCCGATCGGGATCGCCGTGGGACTCGTTCTCGCTCATTTCAAGAACGACAGCGATAATTTAGGACCCACACCTACCATACTCCAGGGCATGGCAGCTGGTACCCTACTTTACGTGGTATTCTTTGAGGTGCTGGCGCGAGAGAGGGCAAACGAGAAGAGCGGCTTGCTGCAACTAGTCGCTATCATTATTGGCTTCACGCTGATGCTGGGTCTACAGATCGCCAGTGAGTTCGTTTCCCGGAAGACAAGGGAATCCCCCGCGTCTCCAAAATGCACCGGAGCGTATCGCGACGCAACATACCGCTGATGCCGGATAAATGCATTATCGTCAGTCTAACGATGACCTTCGTAGCGTCGCTTAGTGCGCGTTTCCGTTTCCCTTCTGCTTTTCGCGTGACCGGTAAATTTCCGCGTGTCAAAACGGGAAATCGCGCACAAATTTATTATTGTATGGTGAAAGTTCATCCCGGCTTCATTAGGATTCACCGGAAGCTATCTCTTCCTCAACTACCTCGACGCGAATTTGCGTACGCATTGTTATTCACAGAGACCAGTTTTATCTTGACTAATTCAAACATTTTTCCTGGTTGTCTTCAGATTAGTGTATAATATTTCATATGCGAATTATCGCGTTTCAAAATCTATAATCTTTATTAGGTGGACATGTCGACAAAGCAAATCGCTCATCGTGGCTTCTCAATCGTAGATATTTAACATTCTTCTTATGTACAGCTAGAGTACATTTTAGAATTCTTCTCATGTAAAATTACCGTTAAATTTAATTTGATAATACAGGGAGTTTTTGCAATATCGTTTATCCAGATACGGTGAATGCTAAAGTCAGGTTATTTTCTTCTTAATAACTAATTAAGAAAAGGATAATGTAACTTTAGCGTTCACCGCGTATTTATTGCAAAAACTCTAATTACTTACGGTAAAATTACAGTAAAATAGTAATTTATTGGTAATTTTGATAAAATTTATTGTCTTTATAATTTTATGTACAAATAGATTGTATTTTCATACTTATGTGTAAAATAAAACAACATTCTTCTAATATTTCTAAGAAGAATCGTTGATAGAATAATAGGGCTATTGATAAAATCTAAACGTATAATTTAATTCGAACGAAGCTTACTAAATGTTGTCGATTGTCATCTAGAGATGTAAAAGTAACGTTTATAAACGTTACAATAAATTTAATTTGATAATTACTTAGGGTAAAATTGCGATAAAATTTAGTAATTTTGATAAAATTTGTTGTTTTTTATAGTTTTACACAACTAGGTCTTATTTGCTTTCTTGATATTGATGCATAAGATAAAACAACATTCTTCTAATATTCTCAGCAAGAATATAAATCGCTGATAAAATAATAACAGAATCATTCGCTAAACCTATACGTAAAATCGATGCTAAAGTCCGTTTTCAATATAGTGTCATTATAGTTCTCTAAAGATTAAAAATTATCAAAAGTATTTATAAATGAATATCATTGATGAATCTTTTGGTAACTGTTATCTTTAGGCAATCATATAATGGAGATATCAGATCCGATTTTACAAATGTAAGATTTAACTTTAATTTCAGTTTAACTTAGTCTCTAACTTTTTCTAATTTTAGAATTAGAAAAAGATATTGACAACATATTGATAACATATTGGCAATATGTGTTATTAAAATGAAAATATGAGTTAAAGTCTTTTTAAAATGGCTAAATGCTTTACATCTAATTATTTTATCATTTTTTAAAATTATCATTTTACCAGATTTCAAAAATTATTGACTAATTTATCGTAATGTATCGAGTAAATTACCATCAAATTCAGTCATTTTCGGCTTTAAATACAGCACATAAGTTTGCAGCAACATTGCAAATATTACAGTAATGTTGCTGCAAGCTCCTGTACTGTATGGGCTGAATTAAAATTTTCAGAATCACCCGTCGTGATTGTTCCATCAAGGATATTCGATATTCTTACAATTAAAATTTTCAGAATCGCACATCTCGGTGCAAACCTATTACAGGTACGTCCTTGATACACTTCACGTGTTGGTTCTTCGGTACTTATCTAATCTATCGATTTGTCTTAAACCGACGAGCTACAAGCTGAAAAGTCAGGGTCAGGACAAATTGGAGTAAGAGAAGCAGGGTTCCTCGTCATAGAAATTCTCGTGCAATGCTCATTTGTTCAGAACTTAACGAACTTTTCGCTTGCCGCGAAAATAAATCTTATCTAGACGTTTTAAACGTTTGTTAAAAAAAAAATTGATATACGAATCAGGCAGATATGTGTATATATATATATGTATATACTGTGTAGAATTAAATTATTTGTTGACACAGAATACCAGCTGATAACAGCTGTTTACTTCTGATAGTTTATGCTACTATCATGATTCCAGAATACGGTTAGTGACTGAATAAAATTGACGGATTCATAATGCCAGTAGAAGCAAAAAATAATTCGTGCTAATCGTGAAATGTTTCTAATTCAAATTCACTTAAAAATTATTTCATTCTTTTTTTCATAATCAAGAGTATTCGCCTCCACTTTTAAAAATTAAATCTCCGTCGAAAATGTTCGGAATTAATGAAATGAGTTACTAAGTGAGAATTTCTATGACGAGAGACTCTGCTTCTTTTATTCCAGATTGCTCTGACTCTGACTATTCAATAGTAAATATTGTATTAGATGTTTATTTAGCACCTAATATTTTTAAAGATTAGATAATAAGCAGGTGAACAACATTTATCAGGGTTGAATTGAAGTAGGAAAAGCAAAGATCTTATAGGAACGTTTTCGTTCAGTAACACATTTCATTAATTCTTAACATCTCCAACGAAGTCGAGACTTAATTATAATATCACTGATGTGATCGGTTATTTGCACGCGTGCGGTATACATTATTACTTTGCATCCAATAACATTAAAGAAATTGTATGAGTGTCATTTCGTCGAGAAAGTAACAACAGGTGGAAAAGATGGAGCGTAATATCTCTGCAGATCGTCTGTTACGCAATCGTAATTACATCTTGACCTTCTCGCAAGAGTACGAAAGGTTCGCGAAATCGAGAGATATCGTAGGTGCAATGTTCCACTTCAATTCTAAAGCTGAATGACGCAAGAAACTAGATGCATTAACAAATTTTAATCTTGCGAAACAATATCATAAAAGTACACAAATGAAAAAAAATCTAAAACCCGTTAAACTAGATATTGAGATTGAGATTGAAATTAACCAATTAGAAGAAAGAAAACCAATATCAAGTTTAGTGAACTTTACTAAAGTCAAATTTAGTTTCAATTTCAATCTCTAGTCTAATACGAGTTTTAGGAATATTAATAGAGTATAATTGTTATTAAAATATGATAAAATAGCGCATATGAAGTATTTATTAGTTCGGATATTTTATAATGTCATACGTATAAGAAGTACGTATAAGAACGCAAAATATTATAATACAAAGAAATTAGATTATATGCTTTCTATTCATTAAATGATTTATTGGAGCATTTATCCTACGTAAAATACGAGCTCGTTATTCTTACTCGTGTCTATGCGAAACATGAACTTTTACACAAGTCGCGTCGGCTACCACATGATTGGCAAATTGCATACGGAAACAACCCACTTCTTCCAAGGCACACACAGGTTTCACGTGTAGTGCTGGAATGACGTATGAACACTGTCATGTTGACAACAGACAAGCGAATCTTGATCTCATAAGGGATCTGGTTATAGTCCCAAGGCTTTCTCTCCACCCATGGCAATGACCCAGGACGGTTAGGTCGATGGACGATCCGACCGACTTTCGACGGCTTTCTCAACCATTTGACGTATTTCGTGATGACAAAATTGCCGTCAAGTGTTTGAGTGCCGTTTGGAGAATTTCGTATGTATATATGCACACACACACACACGCAGAAATTAATTACGGAGAGCTCGATGAGCAATGACATGGAAACGGATGGTGCATGATCGGATGCGTAACATACACACGCTCAAGTTATGATATAACTTTGTCGCGAAATATAACATTTCAAAGGAAATTTTATAATTCATTGTTATTAGCTCCAGTAATTAATAAAATCTTAAACCTAATAACGTTAAACATTACTGTGACTTTACGACGAACTATCCTTCTCTTAAGCTAAAAACTCATCTCTTATTGTTACCAAATTATCTCATAAAAATAAATTAAAATAAATTCAGAAAATGTATTTCCAGAAATGTATTTCCAAAATGTATTAACAGAGTCAAATAACGAAGTTAAATAACTTATTATTTAAAAAATCGAGATTTGAAAATTCAATTGTTTCTTCTTCTAATAATGTAATTAATAATAAACGTAAAATAGAGAAAAAGAAATAGAAATAGAAGAATCTATCTCTTCTAACTTACAAAAATTTTGCAAAATTCAGTACATATGTGAACACAAATAGTTCAATTATTCTAATTCATCTTCACAATCGGAGAGGTATACCTTCGCAAAATGAACCGCCAGTTCTTTTTACAGATCCCCTCGCGTGCTTTAAAAATCGCGTGAAATCTCAAACATCTACGCTTTCTGTCTACAGCTGCCCATTCCCACTCACATGATGGCAGTGGTCACGGACATTCACATGGTGGCCATGGACACTCGCATGATTGCCATTCCAACCATACGGAGATAGAAGAGGAACATGATCATGATCATGATCACAATCACAAGCATGACGTAGTCACAGGGATGATCGACAAAGTAACCGACAGCATTGCCGAGGTCCTCTCTAATGCCCTTTCGTCCTCGACGACACCGTCGACGATGGTACAGAGGAATAATATAAACGAGACCAGTCCATTACATCCTCAGCGCAGTTAGGGGACCGATCTTTAGGTTCCCGTACGTTCCAATCTCTACGACTGAATTCTCTTCAGTAGAGATTTCAGCGTCAACAAAGATCTCTCGGGAAACTCAAAGCTCTCGAGATGGCAACAATGCCTTTACTCAGGGGACTCTTTTCGCATTTTTTTTTTAATCATTTAGCAAAGGAAATGAAATATTAAAATGAGAGGAAGATCAGCGTTGACTTGATTTTTTTAATGCGTGACTATACGATCAGATGGATATTTCTGATGGACATTGTGCAAATAGCGAGAAACTCACTATGTTCGATAAGACAATATCTTTCATTGCTACTTTGACTGGGAACGGCGTGACGTACGGAACAAACTTTCCGGATTTCCGATCTTTTCGCTGACTTATCGCGACAAACATCCTGAAAAATTTCTCTCAAAGTCGCGATCAGAAAAAAAGCGTTTCCGCGCCGATATAACGTATCCGAGTTTATTTTTTTAGATTACGTAATAGAGAATAAGTTAATCCGTAGTGCATGATTATTTAAATGTCTTCAAGACTTAGATACTCTAGTATCTAAAGTATTTATTGATAGAACATGAAGGCGTTCTCCAGAGTTAAAATAATTCTTGATAGTAATACAAAAAAAAAGATGCTGAGCTCTTCATTACGACGAGAGCCAATCCATCAATTTCCTAATTATTCAACGAATCCAAACAGGCCACGCGCATTTATAGTAAGAATTTTTAATAAATTACCACAGATATTTTTTACAACTGTGTCATATTTTTTTATGCCTAATGGGAAATGCGAAGTTTTTTAGCAGATCTTTTAGGCTCTGTAATTTCCTAAATTTTACGTTTCCTTATATTTTTGTAAAAAAATTAATAAAATGTTTATTATTTTTACACTAAAAAGGAATATTTGAGACTTGATATTATTTCAAGACTAGTGAGAGTTTATCCTCGCGATTGGAAAGTGATTGTAGTAAAAATAAATCACTTGAAGCGCATATAAAATACACTTTTCAAACACTTCTCCACAAGGCAAAAACACTTTCGTAAACGTCATCTGGATTTCGCGTTGAGAGCGGTTATTGTTGGAAAGCATGCCGTGTCATTATTGTGATGCGACGAAACAATAGTGGCCGCGAACAAGCCACGCAAAGAAGCACACTACACTATGCATCGACCAACATTTGCGATTACATAGGGTGTCCCTGTCTTCTAAAGTAAAAAAAAAAGTAAAGCTTTATCTGTTCAGCTTAGTTCCCAAAAAAAGTCATTCTTTATTTTCGATCGTTTGCTAAAACGCTATCACAATACTTTTATAAATAGAAATTAGAATTAAAAATTAAAATTAAAATTAAACTAATAAAAATTAATGAAATAAAAAAAAGAAGGAGAAATTCCGTCGAAGCTGATCTTAATGCTTACCTAATAATATAATCATATACAAATTATTGAGGACCAAGATCCGCTCCGACCGAAAATAGAATTCTTTCTCTTGAATACTTTTTCATATCTTTGAAAATTCTGTTTTTAAAGATATGAAAATTTATTCAAAATTGATGAAAAGTATACTGGCGTAAATAAATTTCTTGGACACCCTGTATATAAACCCTCCATAAAAAGCTCCCATACGTCTCCGTCTGCAACTCTCGACATACGGAGCGTCGTCTTAACAAGATAAATTATCGTATTTTTGCGGTTATAGAGGACGTATCGAATGCAATGCGTTGCGCAGAATGAGATATCAAGATTCGAGTCTCCGTAAATTAATCGCGTTTAATTTAATCCTTCATGATCGCAAAGAGCGATCTCAAAATTCATATCATGAGTTTCTCACGCGATTTTGAAAGTAGCGATACTTACGCAGTTTCGTTGTTTATTGTCATAAATAAGTTTAATTAATTCAAACTTTAATGAAAATTTTCTCGCGTTACTTACGAGCATTGAGAATCGAACGACAGTGAGATTAACTCGCGCTTCGTACAAAGTATCGTATCGCGGCCAGTCACTCTGCGTTTATTTGTATTGTTTTGAGACCTCCTTTTATCAGGTTCGATGCTCGCCATAATCATACAAGGGTGCATTAACACGCGTAAATAAATGATAATAGTTTTGAAGAAACAGACGCGTTTCAGCGAGACAACGTCTCAAGAAAATAAGTTCTAACAAATTTTCCATTGTTGCATACACCTTCGAGTTATTTTAATTATTAAACGACTGAGACGTTCATTTTTTAAACCATTATGCGTCATTTAAATATTTTCTACACACAGAAAAATATATACTGTATTTAAAAATTATTTGTTTTACAATTGTTTTATATATCCGCAAATCATATCTAGCATAAGTTCATCATAAGTATCAAATTTATTCAAAATATATTCTGAATCTAAAATAAGAGATTTATACTTCAATAATGGTTATTCAATTAAAACAAATTGCGCTTATTACATTATATCGCTTCTACAATAATATTTTATAATATTCTTTAAAAGAAAAAAGTTTTTGTTTTGAATACATACTTTTTAAATTTTGCAGTAATAAGTATATTTTAAATTTTATGAATTATATTCTAAGATTATTATCTTTGTAAAGATAACGATCACTTAGAAGAAAAAAGTAACTTGAGTCATTACTTTTTTTAACAGTAAATTATTTTTCTGTGTGCACATTTATGCAATGAAGCGATAAATTTTAAATTCCCAAGGTTAATGTAGTGTAACAGTGTTTTTGTCTCATTGATCATGTTGCTATTGTTAGAATTTTATAGCATACGTAATATTAAGTATAAAAATTTAAATATTAGCAATGTATACATATAGTTATTGTTAGTTTAGAATAAAAATTAGAAATGCAAAATAGACATCGATGGATTTCAGGCAGGTGAGGAGATCGTTTCATTTCTTTTTTTTTCTATCGTGTCACAATTCGTATATTCATATATTTATGGTGACAGTTATCTACATATGATGATGCATTCTTATGCAGCTTACAAAACACGTTGTCGATAACATATGATGCTCATACTTCCCGGTTTCCATAAACACGAGATTACGAGGGTTGTCTCGTTTGAGTTCCCAAAGTGCGTGCAATATATATCTTAAGGAACAATTTATAAAATGCCGTTTACCGTGCCGGCGATGCGTGAATGACGAGCGAAGAGAAAAGCGCACGACTGTTTATGACCACTTCGCTGCCAGTAAAGCCTTCTTCAACGCTAGAATCGCCGATATCACATTTTTGTGCGATACGACAATTCACATTTTTGGAATTAATACGACGGATGCTTTCCATTTAATGATACAAATCGACACAGACCATCATTCCTCCATCTTTTTTTACATACAATGGATAACAAAGACAAAACGACATTTGTGTCGATTTGTGCTACCAAATGGAAAGCACTCGAATATTCATTCATATCTTTATTCTGTCTTTTTTGGAAAAAAAAAATGCGCGTATATAAAACTCGCAGTGAAAAAAACATTACTTACATATAATTTGCATTCGAAAAAATTTCAGGAATCCGATGGATCAAGTATTGAATCGCTCTCCGTAATCTCTTGTCGTATGAAACGAAAATTCCACAAGACTCGTCGATTTGGGAGTCGCATTCAAAATGTAACAGACAAAAAGTGCTGTGTCCCTTGCCATGTAGTACAATTTCATTCCGCAACAATTCGCGATAAAAATCCAAGATGGGAAAGAAAAGAACAGAAAGCATATAGAAACAGCCTACTTTTTCGCTATTTGCCCGTCCACAAATTCGAGATAACTGGAGCCGACTTTCAAAAATGCCACTCCAGTGCCGATGCCAGCTAATGTACAGCAGACTGGACTTGGCGGGACTATGGAACGTATCACTGCCCACAGTAAGACCGATCCCAAGCTCAATAATACTGCGCCAGTGGCACTGAAAAGTAAATGCGACGAAAATAAGAAACAATTCCAAAAGGAATGTGTACAATTTGTCTCACAAAAGAATATATACATCTGCACAAGATGAGAATTTTAAAAAAAGTGTATATCACTTTAAAGTACAATCCAATAGCTTATTACATCATTGAGTATTGTCTTCATTGCGTGCTTTTTGTTTAATGACGGAAAATGACATCAATCTTTTTTGGCATTTAGTGATTAATAATTTTGTACATCTTTCATGAAGCTTCCTTTTCATAAAGCTTTTCATAATGCTCAATATTTTTTAAATGAATTGATTTGTATTAGGAGACTACACCAGCCAGTCCAAGCTCATAATTTTTTAACTTCTAAGCAGTGAAATTAATTAAAATATAATAACAACAATATTATTGGCCGAGTGATCTAAGGGTGTATTCACACCTTGATGGAAAAGCAGAAAGTGGAACAGCAGCAAGCAGAACTCTAACTGGTAGTCTACAATTTCGGCTTTTTGTACTACTTACTACCAGTGCGAGTTCTGATTGACCATTGCTTTTCCACTTTCTGCTTTTTCATCAAGGTGTGAATGCGCCCTAAGACGCTAGACTCAAGGCTCATACCTGAACTCGGTTCAACACCGAGTTTGGGGCTTTCTGATCATTTCTAAAGGCATAGATTTGAATCCCACTTCTGACAACAATACATGCTTTCCATTTAGCAACACAAATTGACACAAGTGTCTTTGTTACTGAATGTCGAAAAAAATAGATGTACCTAGTTGTGTTATCAAATGAAAAGCATTTATGATATATACATTCTTGTGAGACTTACTGTACATATTACCAGTATGGGATCTTACCTGTATAGAATTCTCACAGATTGTGGTGCAGCCTTCATATGTTCACGTGTGTAGATGTATGATCCAGTACCAATCAAAGTCCCAGCCAGTAAGAAATTCGTAATGTCTTTCTTTGGGAATACTCTGAACAAAAAGAAATAGTACTATTTATAATCTCTCTTTTAATTCACATCATTTATCTTCTGCGACTCATTAAAATTTAAAATCTAAGATACATTCTTCTATCGTAATATTCAAATTGCATAGAGTTACGTAATAAGAGACGACAGAAGAGGACTCGTCATCGTCGTGTTGAATTGAACGAAGTGGAGACTTACTTGACGACGAGGCTCGGGTTCATGACATTGATGGACATCGAGGTGTACGAGAGGGCGCCGAATGCCGGCGCATAAAACTTGGCGATGTTGCACCGCGTGACCGGTCGCAGGCCAAGCTTCTTTATGATCGTCGAGCAGCAACCGCCGCCGTTACCGCTGCCGCCGGCGGCATCACCGCCGCCGTTTCCCGTACTGGACATTGTTTCCTTCGTTGTGTCCACGCGCTGTCTTCCGTACCGCTGTCACTGGAAAATTCCTTCCTCGGAGAAATTACTACTTACTAGCTGTCGCCGCACACCAAGTATCGTCTCCTCTCGCGAGTACTTTGGTCGGTAACCTTCGACTCGCTCGTACACATACACAGTTACACGCGCACGCACAAATCACATGCACCGCGCGCACGCGTGAAAATCACTACAAAAACTGCGAAGTACGCGGCAATGCGCAGGCGTGAAAAGTAAGGTAACCCGTTGAGTGGCGTTCCTATCGCCGTAAGGTTAAAGTTACTAGATTTCTAAACTACTGCCAGAGAAAAACTTGAGAGGACATAACGGCCCAAAACTTGTAACCGTAAAATGCTTGTGGCGTTGCGAGCGTTGGTTGCGGCGCTGCGAGCGTCCGTCGCGGCGCGAAGTTATTATATTTCGCTAAAATCATATTGCATTATGATTAGCGAAAGACAATAAAAT